ATCAGATTAGTTACATCTCATCCCTCTTCTCATAGAACTTAATCAATTGCCACTTGATATGTGCAGAACAAAGAATGGATCTAAGCTATGATAGAAAGAGCTTGTAAATCTAATAGAACTATTTTATATAAATAAAAAATAATAAACCCCCATAAGAATTATAGCCAAATTGTAAATAAACCAGCAAAAGCACATTTCAGAGCTGTGTTTCCTGTCTGAACTGAAATGCAAACAGACAGTAACACACAGACTCTTACGTTATTCAAGATATTTAAACTTACCAATGTTCCTGCTCTCAGCGTGAGCTTCCCGAAGCTGCACGGGTCCAACAACAACATTCACTTGCTCGTGGGAAGAATCTGCATTCCTCCTGAACCTGCTAACACAGCCTTGGTAGCAGCGGGAGGGGAAGTCGTGGTACCTGCACACCAGCAGCTCGCAGCGCAGGAACACCGACGGGAATCGGTTCACGAAGGAGAAGGCGTTAAACCCAAACCGAGCAATGTCGCTCCGTGGCGAGGGGAAGAGAGAGTAGGTAGAGTCACTAGCACACCTGGAAGGACATGAAATCAACAGATTAGCTATTAACTCACAGCTTGTCATGAGCAGAAGCACTATTGCACCCTCTCTTTGAGTTAAACCCAAACCGAGCGACATCGCCGCTTGGTGAGGGGAAGAGAGCGTAGCTAGGGTCACTAGCACACCTGGGAGGGCATAAAACCAACATTAGGACATAAAATCAACATAAAATCAACAAGATTAGCTATGAACTCCCAGATTCTCATGAGCAGAAGCACCTTCTCTTTGCAATGAGTTTCAAGGTTAAGTATAAAACCAGGAAGTAAAAGAGAAATCAAAAGGCTTAAAAAAAAAAGTGCTTTTAGAAAGAAGAGAAACTACTTAAATGTGCACAGCACAGAAATTTCATAGCTTAACAAGTTCTGTGTAAACATGAATAGCTGAAAAATGGTTCTGCTGGTTTCTGTGTTTCAGGTGAGAGCCTGTTATGCATTTGCAAAGAGGATTAACTGTATGAAAAGAGGCCCTTGAAAGTTGTTGCAGAAAGAGAAAGTTCTCCTTTCTTCTCTGGAAGCATAAAACTAATTTTAATATACTTTTTTTTATTTTTAATAAACATTCTCTTTAGTGCTCCAATGTACTTTGGTACGAATTTAGGCAAAGTGGTTTAGGTTTCTAGAATAGTAAGAAAAGGCTTAAGGAATTTCTCTTTTTGAGTAGACAGTACTCCAGTTATGATGCTGTAAAACTCATGATGTACAGAAATGTATAGCCATGGACACCCCTCCTTTTCATACAACTATTTTAGAAACAAAGTCAGACCTCAATTTCCTCACTGCCTCCTTGGGTGAACTCTCAGTGCTTGACTGCAACTTCTGAATGACATTTGGTCACCATTCTGAATTTTACTCAGGCTTTGCCAAAAAGTTGTTCTTAGAAGAACATTTGCCCTGAGAATTGCAACCAACGTACACTGGTCCTAAATCACCTCATTTCACAAATTAAGTTCTTTTAGAACAACACATAGAGACGATTTTAAAGTAATTTTGTACAAAGTTCTTACCCACTCTTGCTCAATTCATAGACCAGTGTCCTAAAATCACTAGAATTAGGTGATGCCACACAGGTGTCCACAAACACAGTCAGATTTTGGTCAGAGCTGTGAAGAGAAGCTTGGAGGAACAAATTCTGATTCATTTCAACATAGTAAGGGAAGTCATGCACTGGCCACTGGAAAGATGAGGAGTTGTAGAACGTCAGGCTCACTTCGTATCTGCCATACTGGGTTTTGTTGACATCAATGACATCATCAGCAATGTACATGACCTGAACCCAGGTGTTCTGCAGCATTTTGCAGCTGATGTGCAAGTGAAGGTCCTTTTGCCGCTTGATGACTTGGCCAGGAGCAGGCACTTTAATCACGTTGGAGTAGGTGATCGTTTCGTTGTTGCCCTGTTTGACACGTTAAATGAGTGTTAAATTACCACATGGGGTCATGTTCACTGTGAGCATTATGAACTTCTGTATGTGCCAGGTCCTGGCAGTCAGAAAGGACCTGTCACACTGAAAAATCCCAAGCATCCAGGATGGGATTGCTCACTTAACTCTCCCCTCTGTTTTTGTTCTCTAGAACATTCTGAAATAGGTACAGGGAAGGGTGTAGGTACCCTGGGAAGGAGAAGTATAAATATTTAACCAAATTCAGCCTTCAGAAACACATGCTCCTTTTCTGTGTTTTGCATGCCTGTGGCCTACAACACTCTTTGCAATCCATGACGATTTTCTAAATGTCTATTAAATTCACATGCCCAGAGCTGTCCCAAATATCTTGACACCAACCTGTCTACTTGTGCCACAGTTGCTGTATGAAATGTTGAATATAACCTCAGTTGATGTAATTTTTGGTCTACACTGAGGGTCTGCCAGGCTGATGTTCCCCACTGAGTAGCCCTGGGACTGGAGATAATGTCTGTCTACCACTGCATACATGTAGGTTGGCAAGCACAGAAGGGCTGGGGAAAAAAAAAATATATGAATTATTAGTGATTTTGGGTACTCGATAATGTTTTCATATCGCAATTCCAACAAATGCAATCACTGCTGCCATTTAGAGAAGAGAATTCATAAGCTAAACCACTTATTTTTACACTGAGATTTCGATATGAGTAAGCAATAGGACAGTAATGGAACAGGTCACCCAAAGTAGTAGCTTTCAATATTTCATCCTTTGAATATTTCTAGACACTCAGCCAGACCAGTTCTTAATGGATCTGACCTGGTGTTGGCAGTAGCTCTGTTTTGAATAGATTCCAAAAGTCCCTTCTAACCAACATTTCTACGACTCTGTGAAAGTTTGTCCAGAAAGGTACAAAAATACATATGAATTATGATGTGGTACAAAGAATATAAGTTTAGAAAATAACAGAAAACATCTAAAGGCAAGTAAATGGAATATTTTGAAAGAAGAAAATGTAGTTATTTTCTCAAAGTGAGTAATCAATAATCAGTCACAAAACTCAAACAGGAATATCATCTCTGTGAGATTCCTTCAACAACATTAACAAATACTTATGTATAAAAGCTTTTGAGCAAAGAAAACACTACTAAGAGAACAGAACTACAAATAGAATGGAAATTTACTGGTGTTCTGGTCTGCTGGAAGGGACTGATACTGAGCCTTAAAACTTCCACTGGAATATCTGGAGTAAAATCTCACAGACATGAAGTTTGAAGATGAGGTGTATGTGAGATGAGAACTAGAACAAATCCTTCCAAGTAGAGGAGAAGATTTGGGTGGCCCATCATAGATCTCAATATAGTCATTCTGGCATCCACCTTGCAACCTGAGGAAGAAATGAGAATACATTAAAAAATGCATTTGCTGAACTTTGGGGTTTAAATGCTGAACAAACATTATAATAGGATTCTGCACTCACACATTTCTCATGTGTATTTATCATTCACTTATAGGATGGGAAATGTGCCCAGGAACTGTGGATGCAGTTGAGATTTGGAATTTTTTTAATTGCCCAAACATTAAGTGGTTTACTTACTGAATGTTATCAAATGTGAGCATGATGAGGAAATTGTTTGTTACATGTATTTGCCACAAACAATCTGCTTTATCTGAAGGGTTCAAAGAAGGACTCTGAAATGTTCCGGAGGACTTAAAAAGTATATCACCACAAATAATTTTTTGACCTGAAAAGGAAAGGAAAAAAAGAAATTAAGGGATAAAAGTGATTAATTTAGATTTCCTTCAGATCAAATAAAAATATGTTCTATATACAGAAACCATGGCAACACAAATCTAAATCTCAAAAGAAACATAATGATTGTGCTCCTCTCAGTTAGGCTACAAGAGTGATGAACTCTTCAGAGAATTGTGACCTGTGCTTGGAGTTAGCAACTCTGTAGGCTTCAGGCACATGGGTATGAAATAAAGTAAAAGATGAAATAAAATCAGAGAATGAACAAAAGAAAATGTCCCATGTAATCCACATACTCTGAAATCCACCCCCAGCCATAGAATCACTCAAACACAGAAGATTTATGAATAGCCAAAAGATTAATGAATAGCATATAAAGAATTAAAACCAGAAAGGATTTTTCCCAATGTATTATACTGTGCAAATGAAACAGCTCACACCTGCGAAACAGTAATTATGACACTTCAAGAGTAATGGATTGGAGAAAATGGATTGGAGAAATGGGAAAAAACAAATAAAAATACAAACCTGGAGGATTTGTAACAAGGGCTGTGCTTGTGGCAGCTGTATGTGACAAAGAAAAGGAAGCAGGTGAGGCACTGGAGGATGAGGGAGCATGGCAAGGTTTTCTACCACCCCTGGGGTTGTTGGTGCCACTCTGACACTGGGCAATGGAGAGCATGGGGGTCTCAGCAGAATGCTTTCCCATGGTGAATCAACCAAAACCAAAATCCTGCACTCCTCCCAAATGTACATTTAAAGTCCAGTGAAAACAGACCAAAAGCAGGAATCTTCCCTTGAGAGAGCCTTGACAATGCTCTATGAATTTCAGGGCCCCATGACTCTCAGTCTCAGCTGTATTCTGCTGTGCTTTTCCCAGGCACTGCTCTCCCTTAGAGGAGACTAAACCCCAAACTCTGAGGCACTAATTGTTTCTGCAGAAATCAGCAGCCAGAAAACCCAGGAGAAATTCAGACCCACCTGAAGAAGCAGAGATGGTGGGGCTGGGTGTAGTTATGTTTGCAGCATCTGTAGGGGAGGAAAGGAAAGAGGCAGGTGAGTTCTGTTGGATGAAGATCCATGCCTGCCCTTCTCCCAGTGCTGGGCACGTTGCTGCCAGCTTGGCACATGGGCAATGGAGAGCCTGGGGGTGTCAGCAGAATGGTCTCTCATGGTGGGACCAACCAAAAACACAATCCCACACATATCCCCAGCCAAGAGGGGATACTTTGTGAAAGTATGCCAGCATGCAGGCAGTCAGACCAGTGGTACCTGAGCACACAACACCAGCATCTTCATTGTGGCCACACTTGTGGACACCCCAGCCGTTGTGGCCGCACTTTAAGAGGGACGACTCCAACCCTGTGCAGTTCACATCATCCAGGTAGATGCTGCCACTGCCTTGTCCAAAGGAGGCCCCTGATGTTGCAGAAACAGCAGCTCCACATCCCAGCTGCCTGCACACCACCTGGGCATCTCTCAGGTCCCAGCCATCGTCACAGACAGTGCCCCGGCCCCCAGAGTGGGAAATCTCCACGCGACCCTCGCAGCGGCTCCTGCCGTTCACCAGGCTGATGGTGGAGGCATCTGGGAAAGAAGGAGATACAGATCCTCTAGTACAAAGGCACCTCCTCTTGCCAGGGTGATGCCTTTGTCAACCTAGAAATGAAACAACACAGTTTTGGGGATAATTTTTGTATAGGAAGTAATATAAAAGTGGATCTTTGTTGGAGGCCTCCAGGGAAGATATGGAAAAATATCCACAGAAGCCACAAAATGTCCACAAATGGTGATGCAACTCCCCCCTGTCCAAGTCCCTTCAAAGTCCTCTCTGCCTTCAGCTGGGACTATACTTTGTTGATGAAAATGTGTCTGAAGAGCCATTTTTCAGCCTTGTTAGCCAGGAAGAACCATGATAGCATGGGGATCCTGGAATGGGTTTTGACTTCCTGACTAGGAAAATGCTGGTGCTAAGTTACAATAAGAAGCTACACAGCTACAAATACGTGTGTAAAGGATACAGAGAATATATAAAGGAAGAAAAGATAAAAACCAAGATCACATCAGGGCCTTGGAATCAGTCTATGAGTTTCAGGCCACCACAACTCCCAGTGTTGGCTGGGTTAACTGCTTTTCCTGGCTTCTCCTCTCCCAGGAGAAAACTAAACCCCAAACTCTGAGGCACTAATTCTTTCTGCAAAAAACAGCAGCCAGAAAACCCAGGAGAAATTCAGACCCACTGTAGGAGCAGGGAAGGTGGTGCTGGGAGTGGTTGTGCCTGTGCTTGTGGCAGCTGTAGGGGAGGAAAGGAAAGAGGCAGGTGAGGCCTGTTGGATGAAGGTTTGTGCTTGACTTTCTCCGCTGCTGGGCACATTGCTGCCAGCTTGGCACATGGGCAATAGAGAGCCTGGGGTGTCAGCAGAATGGTCTCTCATGGTGGGATCAACCAAAAACGACCCTGCACTCATCCCCAACAAATCATCTAATTCCAACTAAGACCACCTTCTGAAAAAAGTCACAGTATGCAAGAAGTGAAACCAGTGGTACCTGAGCACACAACACCTGCATCTTCACGGTGGCCACAATTGTGGACACCCCAGCCACGGTGGCTACACTGGAAAAGAGACAACTCCCATCCTGTGCAGTTCACATCATCCAGGTAGATGCTGCCACTGCCTTGTCCAAAGGAGGCCCCTGATGTTGCAGAAACAGCAGCTCCACATCCCAGCTGCCTGCACACCACCTGGGCATCTCTCAGGTCCCAGCCATCGTCACAGACAGTGCCCCGGCCCCCAGAGTGGGAAATCTCCACGCGACCCTCGCAGCGGCTCCTGCCGTTCACCAGGCTGATGGTGGCACCTGGGAAAGAAGGAGGTGTGGAAGACGTGGGAAGAGATTTTAGCACAAAGGCATTTTCTCTTGCCAGAGAGAAATCACTCTATGAATTTCAGGCCACCACATCTCCCAGTCTTGGCTGCATTAAACTGCTTTTCCTGGCATCTCCTCTCCCAGGGAGAAAATCAGACAACAAACTCTGAGACATTAATTTTTTCTGTAGAAAGCAGCAGCCAGAAAACCCAGGAGAAATTCAGACCCACCTGAAGGAATGGAGATGGGGCTGTCTGTAGTTGTGCTTGTGGCAGCTGTAGGGGAGGAAAGGAAAGAGACAGGTGAGGCCTGTTGGATGAAGATCCATGTCTGCCCTTCTCCCAATGCTGGGCACATTGCTGCCAGCTTGGCACATGGGCAATGGAGAGCCTGGGGTGTCAGCAGAATGGTCTCTCATGGTGGGACCAACCAAAAACACAATCCCCAACACACATCCATATCCAGCCAAGAGGGGATACTTTGTGAAAGAGTCCCAGCATGCAGGCAGTCAAACCAATGGTACCTGAGCACACAACACCAGCATCTTTTCTGTGGTCACACATGTGGACGCCCCAGCCACGGTGGCTGCACTGGAAGATGGATGACTCCCAGCCTGCACAGCTCACATAGTCCAGGTAGATGCTGCCACTGCCTTGTCCAAAAGAGGCCCCTGATGTTGCAGAAACAGCAGCTCCACATCCCAGCTGCCTGCACACCACCTGGGCATCTCTCAGGTCCCAGCCATCGTCACAGACAGTGCCCCGGCCCCCAGAGTGGGAAATCTCCACGCGACCCTCGCAGCGGCTCCTGCCGTTCACCAGGCTGATGGTGGCATCTGGGAAAGAAAGAGGTGTGGAAAACTTGGGAAGAGCCTCTAGCACAAAGGCACCTCCTCTTGCCAGGGCCTTGACATCAGACTATGAATTTCAGGCCACCACATCTCCCACTCTTGGCTATGTTAAACTGCTTTTCCTGGGTTCTCCCCTTTCAGGGAGAAGACCAAACACAAACCTCTGCCCCACTAACTATCCATACATGAGAAATCACCAGAAAAATGTGGACAAAGTCAGACTCACCTGAAGGAGTGGCCAGCTTGAACTTGGGTGGATCTTTGGCTGTGGCATCTGTAGGGAAGAAAGAGGAAGTAGCAAGTGAGCTCCTGGTGGATGAAGGATACTCCCAAGGATACTCCCAAGACTGGGGATGTTGGTGCCACCGTGGAACATGGGAGATGGAGAGCTTGATGGTGTCACCACAGCGGTCCTTCATTGTGGGATCAACCAAAAACATAATCCCACACTCATTCCCAACACACACCAAATTCCAGCCAGCAAAAACCACAAGCAGCTGCCTTTCCTTGCCAGGGCCTGGGCAATGCTCTATGATCAAGCTACCACGACTCCCAGTCTCAGCTGCATTCTGCTGTGCTTTTCCGAGGCTCTGCTCTGCCTTGAAGAAGACTAAACCCCAAACTCTGAGGCACTAGTTGTTTCTGCAGAAAGCAGCAGCCAGAAAACCCAGCAGAAACTCAGAACTCACCTGAAGGAGCAGAGACAGTGAGGCTGGCTGTGGCATTGGTGGCATCTGCAGGGGAGGAAAGGAAAGAAGCAATTAGGGCTCTGTTGGATGAAGTAGGGTGGCCAGGTTTCTCCCAGTGCTGGGCATGGTGCTGCCACCCTGTCCCATGGCAGATGGAGAGCTTGGGGGTGTCAGCAGGGTGGTTTTTCATGGTGGGATCAACCAGAAACATAACCCTGCTCTCATTGCCAGCACACACCAAATTCCAGCCAGCAAAGACCTTCCCTTGCTGGCACCTTGGCATGGGTCTGCAAGTTTCAGGCCACCAGGAGTGCCACCCTTGGCTTCAGATGTGCTTTTCCTGGGCTCTGCTGTCCCATGGAGGTAACCAAACCCCAAACTCTGCAGAAATTACTGGTTCCTCAAAAGCACTGGCCAGAAATTTCAGAGAGACTCAGACCCACCTGGAGGAATGGAAGGCATTAACATGGATGTATCAGTGATTGTGGCATACGGAGACACGGAAGATGAAGCAGGTGAGTCCCTGGTGGGTGAAGAATCATGATCCCAATGGTGGGGATGTTGGTCCAACCCTGTCAAGTTGGAGATGGAGAGCAATGTGTCAATATCCAGGCTGATCTTTTGAGGAAGGAGTAAGGAAACCAAGAATTTTTTGACACATATTCAAAACACTTTTTTTCCCTATAAAACGAGACTTAATTTTTTTGGTCGCCCTGAGATGTTGTGGATTTCCCTTCACTGGCCACTTTCCAGGTCAGACATGGCTCTGAGCATCTGTTTTAAAATGTCTCTGCTTCTTTTGGGAGATTTAAGCCAGAAGATTATTAAAATTGCCTTGTAATTGCCCAAATCACTCCATAATTCTTGACTCCATGGGTGCATTACTTTCAGATTCTTGTTGTACATGGCTGCTTTCAGGGACTTAATTTACAATACATCTGACAAACAAATTCATATCAGGTTTGTTTTCCCTAGAGAGCTACATCTTCTGGGATGCAGGGCAAAGATCTGGTTTCTGTGAAATAAGAGATAATTAGTAATGTCATATTCCACAAGGGTGTGGTAGCCTCACAAAATTATCTTTTCAATTAATAAAAAGATGCAAACAGGGACAACTGAAGGCAAATCTCCCAACTAGCAAACCTGTTTTTCATACATGCATGTTTGGATTAATGTCTGGCCAGACTAAAGAGAATAATCTGGATTTTTGACTAATACTTTAAATTTTTAGTTGCAATTCTTAATTTGTATTTGCTAGGAATAGATAGAATTTGCTGGGAGATCAATAAACCAAGCATTAAACTCTTATTGATAACCTAATAAAGTGAAATACTGAAAATTTACAGGAAGAGGTGCCTGGTCATGAGTAATACAGAATATTTTTGGAACTCCCTTAAATCTGTGCTTCTAACCACAGTACTTTCAGTTGTTTGTATACACAGGTTTATCTGTAAAATTAAATTAGTCATAAAAATCCCCAAAACAAGAACAAAGAAAACTTGCATAAATGTATTCATGATTTTAATGCAAGAAGATATCAGTGACCTGCTTGGTTAGGCTCAACGATCTGATACAGCATTATACAAGTGCAGTGTCTTTCTCAGGCCTTTTTTATCTGAGTAGCACACACAAAGTACTTGGTAATTTCCAGATATATAGAAAGTGACTTTATACAGTGAGACAGATATCAGACCCTTTTGGTTTCTTTGTTCTACAATTTCATTGTTTTAAATGTCTCTTATTCTGATTTCCTTGGATTAGTTTTCATTTCTCTGTTTCTCTTTGTATAATTCAAGCATTTTGACCTGTCTTTTGAAAAGCAGTGGGCAAAATTAGCAATGCACACTCTATCACCAATATTCCCATGATATAATGAGTGTTTTTTTCTTACTTATAGGTGCAAAAAACAGTGAACAAAGAGGTGTCTAAGAAGAAATTCTTAGCAGGAGCATAGGACTTCAGATATCTTCTGTGAAAGAGGAATGAGAGTCATACCTTTTTTATTAATTTGTTGGGTTTTTGTTGTTTTAGCTTTTTTAAAATACTGATAGTACTTAGAAAGTCCTAGGCAATACTAAATATTGGTTTCTGAGGAAACCCAACGCTGTTTTGTATTTTTACACATGCAGGCTGGATTGTTACAGTCTCCAGATTTTTATTCCACCTTCCTGAAAGTCCCAAGTTAGGAAAATGCACACACCTGGGGCTTCCTGACACCCTACAGCACAGCTGTGTCTTTCTGTTGCACTCCCATTAAATGATATAAAGCTAAATAAGTATTTCCCACTAAATTATATAAAGCTAAATAAGTATTGGGTGGTTCCGTGTGCATTTGCTAGGGGGAATTTGAAGTACTATAAAGCAGATATGCATTACAGCCAAAGAAACTATAATCCCTCATAATTCCATAATGGAAGCCATAGATTTATAAGAACAAGGTCTCTCAGTTTTTCATGTTAGATTTCTTTTTAAATTTGGTTCAAACTTAGCTGCAAGACACTACTGCAAAACAATGATAACTTCATCACACTAAATTCACTTCAACAAAAATAATACTTTAATGTGGCATTGATTGGTTTGTATTTTTAATAAGACAACCTGATGCTATCTAATTTCAATCTGTCTTCCAGTCTTTCCAAAGGGTTGATTAAACTGGCCTGTGAGTGCCGTGTATAGACCCAGAGCAGCAAAGCAAGACACCCTTTTTCCTACCTTTTTGGGAAGAATAATTTTTGTGTAGATGAGGTGAGATGGCATCCAGGAGTGCTGCATTTATCAGGAATAACCACAGCAAGTCCCTGTTGGCACCCATCTTGTCAAGAGATCCCAGTAAAACTGAGATTTTATACTCTGCACTGCTAAAAACCGGGGCTCCCAAGGTCAGCCTGGCCCATGCTGTGTCTGATTTATTATGCAATATTTTTTATGATTACCTGATCTTTGCAGAAGGATTATATAGGAGTGGTAAAGTTTCCATTTCCTAGATAATTTGTATTACTAGGAAGAAAAGTAACTCTCTGCCAGCCAAAACCAGGATATTCCTTTATTATAAATTATCTTTAACCGTATGTGCTGGCCCAGAGCTACCTTTGGAACCAGACTGGTGAATATATGTGTTTCTTTGCCTCAACCATCCCAGTTTTATTATTTTATTCTTAATAGGTAATTGCTTGATTATACAGACTATAAGGTATTGCAGGATGAAGCAGCAAATTCACAGTAGATTTTCTGATAAATTCTTCAGCAGAGAGTCCTGGTCTCAAAAATGATTATATTTTAGTTCTCCATTTGAAACTGTAGGTTTGTTTCCCTGCTGTTTGTACATAAAAAACCACATCATAAATGGGATTAAGTCAGGAATAAAAGGTAAATTCATGCCATTTTTTTAACATACCCTAAGTGGAACTCACCTGCAGGCCTCTGTTGAGCTTGCTCTGCTTTACCAGGAGCTTCCCTCAATCTGCACCTGTGGTCCTCAGATGTGTCTGCCAGCAGGACTCCCTTCAACCCCTTCAATCACACAGTTTATAAAAAAGACAAGAAGGGTGAACTGAAATCAAAAGTCCTGTTGAGCTGGTTTCCTTGGTTGGTCTGTGTGAAGTTTTAATGGAGTTTAGGATGACTTGGGGGCACGACAAGTCCTGTCTGCTGGGGTCATTTTATTGCATTCCTACTCTTTCTGCTCACCTGATGAGGAGAAATAGAGCTCATCTAGAAACAGGCCACTTGTTGGTCTGATATTCTTTTCATCACACCCCATCCAGGCTGAATCTCTCTGTTTATTTTGGCTACCAGACCAGCTACAACCAAACTGGAGTGGTTGGACATAACTCAATATTCTTGCTGGTGTGCTCCAACCCTCCTTGTGTAGAAAAGCACAGCTGGGGTCTAGAACAAGGGGAATAAAGAGTGCTCTTCCTGCAAAGGTTCACAGTGCTCAAATTGAGGAAAGAAAGACAAAAGGCCAGAGTCCAGAAACAGAATCAGAAGCTGTTAAAGCTGTTACTGAGAAGAGCAAACAAACTGGAGGACAATGGTAAATACAACCGATTGTACTCACATGTTAATAAAGAAATGGAAGCCTGAACATTGCTATTCACAGCTCCACTGCTCCTGACTGCCTGAAAAGAGCAAAAACAATGCCATGTGCTCAGTGGAGTAATCACACACTGTCATTGGGAGGGGCTCATGAGGTCAATCCTGCTTTAAGATTCATGAAAAATGAGCAAGACTTGTCTCAGTGGTGCCTGGTGGCAGGTTGGGAAGCAATGGGCATGAACTGAGGTACAATAAACGCAACATAAGGAAAAAGAATTCCACTGTGAGGCTGGACAAGCAGTGGAATAGGGTGCCCAGCAATTTTATAGATTCCTCAAGATATTATTCAAGATATTCACACCAACTGGACAGTCCTGAGCAGCTTGTTTTCTTTGACCCTGCTTTGAGCAAGGAGATGGACTTAGGGGTCTCCAGATTGTCCTGCCATAGCTGCTTTGAGACACTGTGAACAGAAAATTTATGGATGATATCAAGGAGTTTCAGCAACAGAGAAGGACTAAATGTTCAATTTATCTGCAATAATAAAATCTGCTAGCAAGGTTCATGAAGACATGAACATTTCAGGCTACTTCCTGCATTTCTGGCACTTCCAGTAAGTGTTTTTTAACTTATATGAGGACCTATGCCTTAATAACAGGCACCTTTGATTTGCAGAGGATAAAATTCCAATG